AACCTGTACTAAAGAATAATTGCCAGAAAAAGTCATGGAAGGCTAGAAAATTTTAATGAGTTAGTAAGTCCTTGTGCTATGATTCACAAACAGTAAATGAGTAAGTCTGACTACAGCTGAACATTGCACCAGGCACAGAGCATGACTGAAGAATTCAAAGTCATATCTGTACCCTCCCTGGAGGGGTACAGTTCATTGTGGTTGGGAAATCTCAATAAGCCATGTATCAGGTAAACAATTCTGATTGTAAACCTGTCATTGTATACTTTTAATTAGAATCAGTAGGGTACCCATCCAAATAAGTTATCATTTCATCAAAACCCACACCTGCTAGTCTTTTTGAGGTGTACCCAGACCCACCAGGATTCCACCTTGACTCTCTCCCAACATCCTTTCCATCATGTTCCAAGGCATTTGGGCATCAAGAAGCTCTAGATAAATCCAAAGTTGAGCTCCAAAAGCCACTGCCTCAGGGCTTCTGTCCTGGTACTCCATCTAGTGGCAAGAACATATTTGCAAGACTTACATTAATTCCAGCTGGAAAGCACCCCCCATCCCACCCTCACCCCGCAAAAAAGTTTTCTGGAAGGAAAGAGCCCTGCAAAACTTTGCAAGGAGAAAAATGAAAGATAACAGGTTTGGAACAAAGATGGGGATAATATTTCGACTGGGACAATGGCAGAGACATGAGTATGTATACAGAAATGAGCTGGGATAGGCTCTTATTAAGAACTGAGGTCCAAATTCATGGAAACAGGAAAACAGGCCAAAAAACTGGTGGGTAACAGCGGATGTAGGCCTCACATACAGCCTTCAGCAAAATCAGTGCAGTCCTTTCTGCTACTGAGGACAATGGCAGAGACAAGAGTATGTATACAAAAATGAGCTGGGCCGGGCGGTGGTGGCACACGCCTTTAATCCCAGCATTCGGGAGGCAGAGGCCGGGCTGGACCGATAGCCTCCGAAACAATACAGAGAAACCCTGTCTCGTAAAAAACAAAAAACAAAAAAAAACAAAAATGAGCTGGGATAGGCTCTTATTAAGGACTGAGGTCCAAATTCATGGAAAAATGAAAGATAACAGGTTTGGAAATGGGAAAACGGACAATATGTTGTATAGGAGCCTGGCATTGTCAGCTCTTTTTTTCTCACAGCACACCCATTTTCTAGACATGCAAAGCAAGGCTGAAGAAGTCCTAGTCCCCCAACGCCACAATTGCTGAGTAGAAAGGTTGCAATTGAAGCAGATGAGATCAAAAACCAAAAAGAAAAAATAACTAAATGTTGCACTCCTTTGCAGAGCAAGATAACATGAGAACAACATTTTCGGAATAGACAAGATAGAAAAACTAGGTAGGTGAATGGTGAAACAATCCTTATTTGGATTGATTCGTAACTTCAGCAATTAAAAAGGGAGGGAGGCTCATGAGGTGGCTCAGTGGTATACAAGTTTGTCACCAAGCCTGGTGATCTGAACTCAATTCTTGAGATCCACATGGTAGGAGATCCCACTCACACTGGTTGTCCTCTGAACACACCTGTGCTGTGGCAGTGACACCCACATAAATAAGACAAATGTAATTTTGATTTTTTTAAAGAAAATTAAGACAGAGGATGAAGACATGGCTCAGCACTTAAAAGCACTTACTGTTTTTGCAGAGGAGCCTGGCTTGGTTTCCCAACACCCACATGGTAGCTTATAACCGTCTTTAACTCCAATCCCAGGAGCTCCTACACCTTCTGAGGGTGCCAAGCATACATATGGGGGCAAAACATACACATAAAATAAAAATATTTTTAAGAAAATAAATTTGAAGGGAGGGGTAGGTCAAAGTGGCTTCTATAGGGTAAATCTTGGTGGCAGCCTAGATGGTCAGAGCAAAGAACAGGAAGGAAGGGTAAATGATATGTAAAAAACAGTGGTTAAGGGGAGGACAGAAGATCCCTCCATGGCAAAACATAATAGGGAGACTTCCTTCCAGATACTGCAAAGGTTGACAGTGATAGTCTTAGCCATGAGGCCAGAGCTCTCGTAAGAGTTTTAGGCAGGGCTAGATGTGGTTCACAATAGCTTTATAACTTGACCTCCAGATCTGAAATCCTTTACTGGCCTCTGTAGGCATAGACATTTGTATGTATGGGAGGCATGCACACAGAGAGAGAGAGAGAGAGAGAGAGAGAGAGAGAGAGAGAGAGAGAGAGAGAGAGAGAGAGAGGGAGGGAGAGAGAGAGGGAGAGAGAGAGAGAGAGAGAGAGAGAGAGAGAGAGAGAGAGAGAGAGAGAGAGAGAGAGAGAGAGAGAGAGAGAGAGAGAGAGAGAGAGAGAGAGAGAGAGAGAGAGAGAGAGAGAGAGAGAGAGAGAGAGAGAGAGAGAGAGAGAGAGAATGAATAACTGAATAACTCACTGGACCATTCCCAATACACCCCTGAGATCACACTGAGCAAACCTCATACCAATTCATTACTACTCTCTTTAATACCACTCAACAAAAATCTCTCTGCTCCATCCTCACACGAACTGTCTTTTCCATTTTCTCTCCTCTTCCCCACCACCTCCATACATCGTTGTGTTCTGTCCTCCATGAACTGAACTGTCCTTGGTTTCTCCACTTTCTGACCCCTTCCTACCCTCCAATATATCCCTGGTTCATTTTTTCCTCTTTCCCTCACCCAGTGCTTCCACTGCTTCCATGAACACACAGCCACACATCTACCGATATGAATGAATGTGCTTTTCCCTCGCCTTCTGAGTGCCCATGCCTCTCTGGTATAGTCATGCTGGAACCATTCTCAATTGTCTCGAGTACCTATGCCATCTAATTTTTTTGCATCAGTTCCTTCTCTATCCCAATCCCTATAGTGCCTCTTGCTTGGCTCCACGTGAACTGAACTTACATGGCTGCTGTCCTTCTCACAGCTCCTTGGTTCAGCTCTACCTCCCTCCTTGGGATCTTTGGATGACTCACCCTGTCTGTTTCCTGCACAGAGAATCACATAATGGCTGCACTGCAGAATATGGTGACACCCTCTCACCTCCCTCAAGAGATTCTAGAGAGATTTGATTTCATACTTGGGAATATTAAACAGGAGGAAAATATGTTCAGGGCAATTAATTCACCAAGTAGATCCATTTCAAAATATAACTGTGTATATACTAAATATATAAAACTTTTACTTGCCCATTAAACATAAATTGATTTTGTAGGGTTATACTTCATAGTAAAATGGGAGGAAGGGCCAATCTTCTCAACCCTTTGTCTTTTACTAAGTCATATGTCTCTTATTAGAAAACAACAATAAAAAGACAAAAGCCACATCCTCCTAAAAAATTGCTGTCAACTGACTCTGGGGACAAAGATCCTAAGTTTCATGGAACTGCTCCAAACTACAAACCACCACAAGGAATGAGATCATTTTGAAACATTTCATTCTTAAACACTATAAAGCAAGGTTTTGTTGGGAAAATTCCATTTGAATCCCAGAAATTCTCAGTTAAACAGTTCTCACTATTGTGTAAACAAGTAATCTGAGGCACCAAGAGAAGCAGCTTGCCTCCAATTGTTCATCCAGTTAAGTGTACCCATGTTAGAACCTAAGCCTCGAGTTACTCTTGGCTTTTTGTCTCCTTTCATGTGTTTCCCAAGGAGTAATCTCTCTCTCATTGCAGGGCTCCTAGATTCTCAAAACTGTCCGATATAAAGATGTGGCCCAAGAGGAGACCTTTGTAACAGGCTCCCAGTTGAAATACAAAATGCCTAGGTAAGTTGAATATTAGTTCAACAAGAAGACTAGTAAGAGGCCTTTTTATTAAACACACACACACACAGAGGGAACAAGAGACAGAGAGACAGACAGAAAGGGGAATGGAGAGATTACTTCGTGGTTAAGAGAACCTTGTTACTCTTGCATAAGATCTGGGTTCTGTTTCTAGCATCCAGAACCTACATAGTAGCTCACAACTGTTTCTAACTTCAGTTATTGAGGATCTTATGCCCTCTTCTGATGCTGCAGGCACCAGATACATACATATCATGCAGACATACAAGCGGGAAAAATACTCAAACACATAAAATAAATCTGAAAAATGTAAATGCATATATATATGTAATATATATTCATTAATGACCTGATTCAAACTGATCTAGTTGTGTGGGGTTTCATTGGTGTTATTTTGTTTGTGCTTCTTTGACTCAGGGTCAGATTTTGTGACCCAAAATGATCTGAAACTCATTATGCAGCCCCAGCATGCCTTGAACTGATGGCAACCCTCTTGGCTCCTCCACCTATATACTACAAGCATGATCACCTGCCTGACTTTTATTGTTGTTCTGTACATATGGAACATACACACACACACACACACACACACACACACACACACACACACACACACACAAATTCATCAGAGGACTAGAATGCCCACACAAGCTTAAAAACACATTCTTTCTTTCTCATATGAGGATCAATAAGTGTCAATCATTGTTCATTTTCTATTTCCCTTCCGCCTGCCTTGTTCACTACCCTCACCATGAAGTTGACTTCAATATCACATACTTGGGCTTCTCTCCTAGGCAATTCTGTACAGGGCTTAGAGGGCACCTGGGTAATACCTATTTTCTTCTCAATACAATCCTAAGATTCAATGAGATGGCTATAAGCAAATAAACTCACAGGATTGCCTGAATCTTACCACTGCCTAGCTCTCTTCTTTTTTTGTCCAAGCACAAATTAGCCACAAGACTCTATAAGCTTTACCGTTTGCTGGAAGCAGTTTTAGGGCATCATTTAGGCTTAGGTCATATGGAAATTCTACCAGTTGTAAAAACAAGTTTTAAAAGCAAGAAACAATCCATGGCAGAAAAGTAGCAAAGAATTATTTCCTTTTTTGTCCATAGGCTGATGGCAAATTTTATATATCTATGAGGCTGCCCCCAACACAACTGTTTACAAGATGAACTCACAGCTAAAGGTAAAAATACTCATCCTTTAAAGAATGAAAGCTTAAATTAAGAAAAGTTTTATTTTTAAAACAAAACAAATGAATTAACACATATCTAAATGTCATAACAAGCATTTGTTGGGTTTTATGAGAGGAAAAAACTGCACTCTAGTGTCAACTAAAAATGAACAATTTTAGAACAACCACTGCTTATGGCGACATGGATACGTAGACATCTAAGAAGCCACTATATGTTTGCAGCTGTGTGAGCATGCATGAGCAACATGAAATAATGGGAAGTGGAGTGGCCACAGTCGCACCCTCAGACCCTTTCCCCACTCTGTGCTCTTGTTCTGCGCTGTTGAATTAGTCAGCAGGTAAATGTACAAAGAACTTAATATCAAAGAAACTTCCAAAAGTCAAAAATAGATTCAAGGTCACGGCTAGTTACCCCAGAGGTTGGAAGAGGGGGGTTCTCAAAAGCCATATTTCACAAAATGGCAGGCACTAAGTCTAATTACATGTGCTTGAAGTAGAAAAGGAAGCACTGATGTTAATAGAGACTGGTCTTCTTCATGATGCGCAGGAACTCTTGCTCATTGACCTCGCCATCTCCATCTCGATCAGCTTCATCAATCATTTCCTGCACAGCAGTAAGAGTTCATCTTAGATTAAGTCACAAACTAAACTGAAAACAGATTAGACAAGAAACTTCAAATAATGCTATGAGGAAAGACAACTATGGTCCATCTAATGGGAGTGTGCCACTTTTTATGATAGTTATTTGAAACCAAATCACACATATTGTCAAATGCATCAACTGAAAAGGAGCTAGAAAGTCACCCTGGCCTGAAACCCAAAAGAAGAAATTCAGCTGCACACGTGTACTCCAGAAACAGGGTCCATGGGCATTAAATTATCACTAGAGGCATAAGAAGTTTTTCTAGTAGAGAAAATATAACCTGGGAAAGCCAGGGGGCTCCAAGGTGGGGTTTTGAGTTCCTGACTGAGGCTTTACTTACCTGCAGCTCTTCATCAGTCAAGTTCTCTCCTAACTCCTTGGCCACACGCTTCAGATTTTTGAATGATATTTTCCCAGTTTCATCATCATCGAAGAGCTTGAAAGCTTTCAGGATTTCTTCTTTGGTGTCTTTCTCGGACTTTAGTAGAATATAAAACAGATAGTTAGTTACTCGTGTCCTGCAGTCCTGCCACTTCTTGGTCATCCTTTTGTCTCCAATAACCTGACCAGAGCCACGTTAAGAAGTCAGGCAAGCCAGGTTCTCTGGTCCACGGTGGAATGTACTCTCTGTCTACTTCCTATTCTATCATATATTCCATAATTAGCTCATAATTCAGTAGGAAAAGATGCCAGCTTGGTGGAAAAGCCAAGAAGTCCTGATAAATAGGCACGAGGATTGGTTTGAGGGGCCAATGAAACATGTAGGGAGGACAGACTCCTGGGGCAGCTAGACAGTTTTCACAGGTAGAAGACAAGGGCTTCTGACATGAGCTAGAGCTCATCCTTCCAACACCCAACACTGGATATTACTAGGTATCTATACTGATTGCCCTTCTTGTGCTTTGTCTTGTTCAGAACTTTCTTTTAGGAAAACTATCATCTTCGATTAACTCCCTGGCCCCATCCCACATCATCACATGATCCTAGTGATAGCTGTTGTGATATAGGCCGTCAGTCACAGAAAAAAAAGTAGGGAAAAAGAAAACAAACTCTGTAAACTTAACATAAACTCAGGGATTACAAAAGAAATATAATTGTATCTAAAACACTGTACAGACCAAGGAGATTCTAGAATCATTTTACAATCTTTTAAAAGCAGTGAGTAGGGTTATAATTTTAGAAGATACAGTGCTTATACTAACAGAAGATAGAGATATACTTGTAAGAGCATTTTAAATAAGAGAGGCATTTTGCACAGTGGACTTCAAAGAATTACTGGGTCTCTGAGTATTCCAACAAAAAGAGAATAGAATTTCCCAAAGCATTTAAACCTCAAATGTTTCAGGAAAGTTCTTACCAGAAGCTACAACTAGAGAACTACTTAGAACAATCTAGGAGCCAATCTTGAGTACGAATTGGATTTGCTAGGGAGCTGCAGAATACCAAGTTTCCTGATCTCTTAAATCAGTACACACATGCACATACATGCACACAGATGTAGATATGGTGATTTCAAAGCAACTCAACTGTTAAAGAGGTATAGCCTGTGTCTGGGAAACACTTTGAAGAATTTGAATGGGGTTACCTTTCTCCAGGTATACTGAGAGAAGGAGCCACACCAACAAGCCAGAAGGCCAATGAAAGAGCAAAGTTGGTCTGGTTCAGGCGACATGTTCATGTTCTCTCAAACCTTTGGACCTGCTAAAAGGATCTGAGAAACTAGGGATAGATGAAAGCAACCTTAGAAGTACCAAAACACCTTATCGATTCTAAAGCTCAAAATTCTTGTGCCTCTGATTGTACAAAGTGAATTGTCAATATGAGAAGCATTTGTCTGAAAATGCCATAATATCTGATTTATTGTATGCTAATCTAATTTAATGATATTAAAATAAAAATTTGAATCATATGAAAATCTCTGTGTTAACATGTTTTAATGCTTGTGATTATCATATGAGACAAGGTCAAATGATTTCTGTAATACTGTATCCTTAAAGAAAGCCAAACAAAACTTATAGATCCTCTCTATTGAAAATACAATTCTCAATCCTGTGAATGGTATGGTATAGATTTTATTTAATGAAGTTCTTTTTATGTCTAGATTCCCATGTATCTACTATTATGGATGGAAAGTATGCTTATTATCTCAACTAACTTACCATTTTTTGAGTCATCACTGTCAAAAAATCACTAAAGTTCATTTTTCCTGTTCCTTCCTTATCAATTTCACTTATCATCTTCTTGATTTCTTCTTTCTTGGGTTCAAAGCCCAGGGCCCTCATTGCAACCTACAATGAAAACAGAATCATCTAAATTAACACATATAAATTATATAGAAGAAAAAATGGTTGTTGAGGATATTAACTTAACACCTGACAAAATGATGAAAATTGATTAGGGAACAATGTAATGCTGATTTAATTGATATTTGCAATCAACTTTATCAATTAGATCATTGTTTCAGGTAAAATATACACAGGGCACATTTTTCTGTTACTTTTTACAGGGAGAAAATGTGATAGGTAAAAGACAAACAACAGACTTTGGACTCCCATAGAACAATGTGAGGTGCACTCTCACCCTGAACTCTTGGGGAAGGGTCTAGGCCCTGCCCTATATGAAATGACAGACTATGGACACCCCCATGGAGGGCCTCACCCTCCCTGGGGGAATGAGGGGATAACGAGGGGGGGGGGAGTTGGGGGGAGGGCACGGGAGGAGGGGAGGGAATGGGAGAGGGACCTGGAACTGACTTGTGAAGCAACCTTGTTTCTTATCTAAATTTAAACTGGAAAAAAAAAAAGACAAACAACGGGGAAACACAAGGTGCCAAAGCAGGAATGTGTGCAGCTTGCCTTGAGCTCCTTAATGTCTATAGTTCCAGTTCCATCAGCATCAAAGAGATCAAAAGCTTCCCGGATTTCCTGTTTCTGTTCTTCAGTCAGTTCAGGCTTAGGGCTCATTCTTTTTCTCTGGCCACTGGATGCCATGTTTGTCTTCTTAAAATTAGAGGCCTTCAGACATACAAACACAGAAGCACAGTATTACAAGCCATAGTCCATATTTTATTCATGACAGTTCTAGACATTCATAAATTTTTCATTTATGCTCCACTCTAAATAATGTACGTATGTCATTCGATAAACTTTTGTAAGCTGGTGAGATGTCTTCTTGCCAAGATTGACAACAAAAGAGGGAACCCAGAGCCTCCATGGTAGGAGAGAACCAACTCTTCCAAGTTGTTCTCTGACCTTCACACTCAGACTAAGTAAGTCCCCTTCTCCTTTACAAAAATTACAAGGGTAAAAACTAAGTAAAATTAACCCCAACTCCAAAATAATTCTCTGAAAAGAAAAAGAGAAAAACTTTCTTTCATTTAAAACTGTTTTAATAAGTATATTTTAGCTTTTACCACTACACTGTATAAAACAGGAAATCAGCAATACACTAATTAAATATGGTTGTCTTCTACCATAACTATAAATTAAAACATCATTTCTGTTAATAATGTAATATCTCACATGATTAAATCCAACTATATTTCATTGGGGAGCCAACAACCTGAAGGGACTTTTTGTTTTAAAATCATATATTATAATTTTTCTCCTTGTTCCTGTATAGACCAACATCAAGCAAGTGAATATATGTTTTTCATCAGAAGATATAATTCTGACCCCACTGTCTTAAAGTTTATACTACAGATAGTTTATGCACTTGTACATTTAATAGACATGCCACTTTAGGAAATTAAATTTTTTAAATAAAAATTTCTTAAATAAAAAACTTTTAAATATAAAGAAGCAACATTAAAAACTCTTCATCATGCTTGAATTTTCTCCTTTTCTAAAGCCAGTAAACAGCAAATTTAAGACCATATCTGTTTGTAACAAGATTATCATTTTATTATGAATAGACTGTCACAAATTTCTATATTGTATATTCAATTACAGCAACACGCTGTGGCTTCAGTTTTCATTACCAAAGATAAAAATCGATCCCTCCTTGTTCTAGTGCCACTGCTACCTCAGACAGCTGATTAATGGGAAAACAGTTTATACCAACCGATTCTAAAGAACTGCCTAATAAATTGAGCCATAACGAAGTTTCCTGCAAAGAACAATTAATGTTTCCATGAACCTCTGACTCTTAAAAAAAAACTATTGATTTTAGAAGCCAGGAAATCCCTTATTCTTCATCCTGAAAGAGAGCTAACTGAGAAACCAATTATTAATACTTAACAGATATCAACTGTTCCTGAATCCGGTAGTTTCAGTTCTAGACACGCACTTAAAACATCTACTAGGGATGCTAGTTCCTAACCCATTTGACACTTGGTGCCTGGTCTGCGAAGCTGAAAGCATCTCCTGAAAGCCTCAATACATTTGCGACCATCAGAACATAGTAAACCTCTTAGTAACACGCATAAACTTTAGTAGGTGGCATCGGTCAGGAGGCCTGAGTCTGACTGAGGTCGGAGTCTGCGGGAAGCCTGAGTGCTCCCTGCAACAGAATGGTCACCTGCGGTTCCAGGAAAACCCGCAGAGATCAAGAGGCAGGTTAGGGGTGGCTGAAGGTGACTGGGGGCGGGGAGGGTTAAAGTGGTTAAGCGCAGGCAGGCTAGCGGCCGGAGACTGTATTTTTTCTCCCACCCTTCCGGCATAGAGCTCCAAGAAAGAACTCGTACGCCAACGCGAAGAACAATGCAGGAAAGGCTGCAGGGCGGCAATTGAGGCCTAGGAAGGGCTCGGAGGCGCCACGCAGATCCCATGAAACGCCCAGCACTTACCATCGCCGAATGAACACCTCTGCGACCGGTTGTTAAGGCAACGGCGTACTCGCGGCCTCAGCGCCTTTCCCACTGCTCTGTGCGCGCGCGACCCGCTTCCCATTGGTTTGCGGACTGAGCAGGTGGGACTAACCCGGCAAGTCCCGCCCCAGGGTAAGAGGGCAGTGTGGCGGCGGCAAGGACTGGCGATCTCATTGGACAAAATCGCCCTGCGAGCGTCAACGGGCTGCGCCAGAGCCCCGCTAGACCAATCAACGTGAGTAAGGAAGCTCGGCTGATCATGGGCTTATACCTCTCAGTAGACAAGGGTGTATGTTCGCTGGTTGCAGATTGCTAACAAGCTGAAGTCAACTGCAAGAGTGCCTAAACCGGGTAAGAGCTGCGTCCTTGCCCTCGGAGGCTGTTGCGTGTGGGAGACAGAGCCGGGAGAAAGTGAGAGGGGGTGGGTGGAATGTTCTAAAACCCGAGATGGGAACACAGAGATTCTGAGGGACCAGGAAAGATTTGGCCGGACTCTTTGGAGGAGTGACTGAATGGGGCAGCTGAAGTCTAGAAAGGGGAGTGGGCATGCTGCGCGTTATGTCAGAAACCGAATCCAGGCGCGTCTTTGTGAATTTAGCTCTCAGGATGATGAATTGGAGGACTTTCTGGGTCTAGGAAAGTCATCAGAATGTGCCCTGTTAGACATGCAGGCTCTCCAGTCACATGAGAAGGAGCAATCCTGGATAAAACTCCTTTTCAAAGCAAAGCCACAGCAATTTTGGAAATGTTGGGTGGATAGAGCAATGTGTGCAGGGGGATGGAGGTACCAGAAGTAACGGGGGTCCAGGGTCAGCTACAGCAGTACCTCAACCGTCACACCTGCTTCCCTCAAGGCATAGAATATTAGTTTGGGGGCATTAAGGACATAACATTAGTCTCTCAAACTGAGAAAGGCCAGAAACTTAACAGCACCCCATAAATGTAATGTAGGCCCTTTACCTTCCTTCCTTGGAGCCATGAACCAGATTCAAAAATTTGTGTCCCATTTGACAACTCTGTTCCCTCCAGCAACAATTCACCCCAGCCCTTCATTGGCAATATGAGCTGGAGTTATCAACAGTCTCCCTGGCATGCAACTCCTCCTATCATACCCACACTGGTACCTACCTCCTCATCCCTGGCTACCTCCCACCAAAGACACTGGCTTCATGACTGATAAACTCTCCTGCATTGACCTTACTCAGCCCCATGAACTTTTTAAAAAATATAATATTTTGATTAATTCTTTGAGAATTTTTGTCACAGATGTATACAATTTTTTGTCATTTTTTTGCTCGTTTGTTTGTTTTTTTCGAGACAGGGTTTCTCTGTATTGTTTTGGAGCCTGTCCTGGAACTCAGTCTATAGACCAGGCTTGGTCTCGAACTCACAGAGATCCCCTGCCTTTGCCTCCCCAGTGCTGGGATTAAAGGCGTCCGCCACCACCGCCCAGCTTTTTGTCATTGTTTTGAGATAGGGTTTCACTATGTAGTACCAGCTGTCCTGGAACTCCCTATATAGGCCAGGCTGGCCAATCTCACAGAGATCCACAGGCCTCTGCCTCCTGACTGCTGGAATTAAAGGTGTGTGCCACCATACCCAGCATTGGCAATGTATCAAAATATTCACTCTTCCTTCCTCCCCTTAACTCCTTCCAGAGCTGCAAACCTCCCTCCCTTCCCTGAACTTTTGCAATCAGTGATCTGAAACAGTCTCTAGTAGCTTGTAGTCTTACGGTTTTATCCCAGTGTATGATGTGGGGGTTTAGCTTGGCTTTTAGTGGAGTCAAAGTTCCACCATAAACCAGACTTGAGGCTTCTGGCATGACAACCATCACAGCCCACAAGCACCTAGGACTTTGTTCTTAAAGGTTCTTTTTTCAGCATTTCAGGGCAGTTCTGTTTTTTTATGTGTGTAAGTGTGTGATCAAAGTGATGTACCAAAATTGCAATATTTTGACCATTTTTGCACTCTATTCCCACTGTAGGGCAAGGACACCAACTCCACTCTAATATTTTCCTGCTGCAAAATTGAAACTCTGTGTATTAGCAGCCCTTCCCTATCCCACCGCTGCCAACTGCTACCAGATACCATCTACTTTCAGTTTCTGTGAGTTTGACTAGCTTGTGGTAGTGGAATCAGATAGTGCCTGCCTCATTTCACTTAGCATGATACCTTCATAGTACATTAAAGTTGTTACATGTGTCAGAATTTTGTTCCTCTTTATGACTGCATAATATCCTGCTGTTTGGTTTAAATGGACTACATTTTGTCAGTTCATCCATTAGTGGAAATTTAGGTTGTTTTTATCCTTTGGCTATGGTGAACAATCCTACTGTAAAGATGAATATAGGAGTGTCAGCTCCAGATCCCCACATAACATTTAGGGGGTTTATACTCTCAAATGAAACTGCTGGATCACATGGTAATTCTGTTTAATTCTGTGAGGAAGTGCCAAACTTCCACAGTGGATAAAACATTTTGCCTTTTGCCTCACATGAGTATGCCAGTTTTTCCATGACCTCACCAACACTTATTTGCTGTTTTCTGGCTTCTTAATGACCTTACTGAGGTTTTGATTGGCATTTCTCTAATGATTGGTAATGTTTCATCTATTTCATGTGCTTACTTACTTGCTATCTTCTCTGGAGAAATGCTTGTTCGTTCAGAGCCATTCCTAATATGCATTTGAACACCCAGTGCATTTCAGACAGCAGGCAGGGGAAAGGGAATACCAGTGGAATTTGACTGAGCATCAGACTAGTTCTGATACTCTAAGAATTCATTGTTGATTCACAGTATTTGCAGTCTCAGATAGATAGGAGGTATATAATTTGAGACAGTGTAGGTTTAGTTTTGACAAAAAGCTGGTGTACTAACACCCATATGATCGTATTTGAGCACTGTGACTACACTAGGGTGGGGCGTGTTACTTTTACTTCCTGTGTCCTCTTTTGACAAGTGGGAGAGGGTATATGCTTTGACAAGTAGTATGGGGTGGGCAGCTATGCTCTGTGTTTCCAGACTGCACAGAATTCATCTCCTAGGTCTTTGTAACACCTGGCTACATAGGATGGTTTAAAATAACAGGGCTCTAAGCCTGTGGGAAACTTTCTCTCTGTAAATCTCACAGAGATTTTTAATGAAAAGGTCACTTAAAATCTCTATCACTGGAAGTTAATGTTGTTTGAAATTGTCAGGCTGTGGAAATTGGATTGGAGCCATTGTAAGACCAAGTTGGTGTTGGCTGCCTGCCACTTCTTTCCCCAGTGACATTCTCTGCATCTTCCTTCATGGGTAGACTATCATTTCTGGTACATCTTGACATTTATACATACTGCATCAGTAAATACATTCTCTGTGTTTTCAACTTGGTATTGTAGATAAGAGAAGAGGGGAGTATATGATTAAGCCTTCACCTTGGCTGCACTTTTCTGTTTGGTAGCATCATCGCACATGGTTACTCTTGTCTCGAGTTGTGAAGTGCTTGTTCGCCACCATTCTCCAGTCGCAAACCAAAAATTTTTTGGTATGACTGGTGAAGGAGGGTTACTTAACTGGCTTCCTGTCCTGCCTGTAAGCCAAGTACTCTGTAAATTAAAGGGCTCGCCATACCCTGGGAGAGCAGCCTCAAGCACAGGGAAATATGCACAGGGTACTTTGGCCAGTAGGTGTAGCTGTGACTCAGCTGTTTATGAACACTCACCCATAACAGCTAAAGATTCTTTGCGTCACATACTATTAATGTCTTTCTCTAATTATGTCTTTAGGAAGAAGAGTTGATTGCAAACAAGACTATAGTTTGATCCATAATGGAACAAGCAGTTGGTGGTGAGTCAAAGAGAGGCCAAGTCACAGGGACACATTTGACAAAAGATACTTCCAAAGTAAGTACTAGCATTAAAAAGCAGGGGAGGCCAGGCTGTGGTGGCGCATACCTTTAATCTTAGTACTTGGGAGGCAGAGGCAGGTGGATCTCTGTGAGTTCAAGGTCAGCCTGAGCTACAGAGTGAGTTCCAGGACAGCCAGGGCTTTACAGGGAATCCCTGTCTAAAAAAACAAAACAAAAAGTAGAGGAAAGCCAAACCATTGATATTACCTATGCATTTTAATATGCACTTAATCAGTTTGTTCAGGCAATGCTGGCTGGTTATGTTTTTGTGTATTATATACCTTTATTTAAGATATGCCAGTTACTTATTGTTGTATAACAAAAAAAATCAGAAAGCAAGGGTTTTAAAAAGCAGTAATTAGACCTGGAATGATGGCTCAGTGGTTAAGAGCACCAGCTGTTCTTGCTGAGGACCCAGGTACAGTCCCCAGCACCTACATGGCAGCTCACAATCATTTGTAACTCTAGTCCCCAGGTCTCCCCTTCTTCTGACTCCTGAATACACTGCATGCATATGGTACACAGACATACATGCAGGCAAAACACCCATACACACAAAGTAATAAAATCATTTTTAAAGTAATAACATCTTTGCTCATTACTCTGGATCCAGTTGGGAGATTTTACACTAGTCTTCCCTGGGCTTGTTCATGTACCTGCAACCCTGCAGACACCTCTGGTGTGCATGTTTCCAAGTACACTCATGCATGTGATGGTAGTTAATGTCGGCTGTCAGCTAGACATGTTGGTTTACCTAGACTTCCTAGTGGAATGGTGGAAGCCTTCCCAGATGGTGACAGTAGCACCTATGATCTAGTGTCTTGAGTCTCAGAAGAGACTTGAAGGAATTGTTGTATCATCATTGTCGAGCCTTCTGGAAGTTCTTCACATAGGTCGGATCTTCAAGTTTACTGTGATGTAGTTCACTCTTGATAAACATTATACTTCTAAAATATGTCTATATCAAGTACTAGGAAATTAGATATTCTCCAAGATGCTTCTGGACCTACCAAATCAATCTAGTTTTGGTGTAGAGCTCAAATAAGGCTTCATGTGGGCATGTTTGGTTGAAAACCTGTGCCCAAAAATCATCATAACTGCTAATATCACCAACCTTTTTTCTTTCTTTCTTTCCTTCCTTCCTCCTTCTTTGTTTCTTTCTTTCTTTCTTTTTGGTTTTTGGTCTCTATAGACCCAGCTGTCATGGAATTTGCTTTGTAGACCAGACTGGCCTTGAAC